TATTGCAGCAGACTGCGACTGTTACCCCCTCATATATGCCTTACACAACTCTTACAGCAGACTGCGACTGTTACCCCCTCATATATGCCTTACACAACTCTTACAGAATCAAACCATACTAAAGGTAATATTTAATGTCATTAGGGAAGAGCCCTCGCCACCATCTGGCCCACTGATGTGCCATGATGTCACAGGGACATTTCTGCAATCACTGCTCCTGTTGCAGCAACATGTTTCACTTTAGCAATGCCATGACTTCTCCACTCATCAAGACCTCAGCAAAGATTTCTGTTGTCCCTGTTACCACCAGCACTTTGGAAACTGTTTGAAACCAGGCAGATTTCTTGATTAAGTGATGAAACCATGCAGACTGGTTGATGTTTCCCTCCTGATTCAGTGATAAAACCAGGCAGATTTCTTGATGTTTCCCTCCTGATTCAGTGATGAAACCAGGTAGATTTGAGAAAAGGATGGTTTTCGAGTAGACAGTGTAAAATTTCTTTATCTATGGTAAAGACATTAGTGCTATATTCTGAAAGTCTGGATCCTTGTACGACTGACTGTCCAGTGTTGCTGCCATCCTTGTACGACTGAATGATCAGTGTTGATGCCATCCTTGTACGACTGACTGTCCAGTGTTGCTGCCATCCTTGTACGACTGACTGTCCAGTGTTGCTGCCAACACTTGAAAACCAAGAACATGACCTCTGCTGAGATCAGGCTGAGAGAACTGACTTCACTGCAACGGGTTTTATCCCATAAAGCTCGGTCTGTCTCCGCAGAATGGCCAGTTGCCTGCCACGAGCGTCGCTCAAACATGACAGCTCCGGCGATGATACCCAGGGATCTCCGTTAAAAACTGCACTTATGAACCCAACGGTGCAATCATAAAATGAACTTAAGAACTTCAGAGAGTGAGGCAAACAGCTTGACCTTTTCATTATGGAGCCCTCTTTCTGGTGACCTCACGGTCGACCGTCCACTGCATGCTCAATCAGCCTTGTAGACATCTGCAAGTGTCAATTATGGAATTTCCAATAGAACATGAGAAAACCCTGTCACCAGGTGACCAAATGGAAGCAGTTGTCAACATCCTGACACGTCAGAATATGAACAACCTATGTGTATCCTGATCAACTTGACATGTCAGAATATGAACAACCTATGGGTATCCTGATCAATTCAAAACATTATGTCATGGACTGCATCATATTTTATGTTGTGTTTTGATTTCTAGGTGGAATTTGTTTCTAGAATACGTATGTGGTAGGACATGTAATATCTTACAGGCCTGTCATAGGACACACATATTTCTGTTACAAGTCAAAAGAGTATAATTACACAAATTGTTTCAGGCAGGACAAACATGATACAGCTGATCATAAAACATTGTGTCTATTGTAGGACATACATGTACATTACAGTGTTTGTGGTAGGACACACTTCACACATTACAGTGTTTGTGGTAGGACACATGTCTCACATTACAAAGTTTGTAGTCAGGCATACATGTTTTATCACACAGTGTTTGTTGTATGACTTGTCACATTACAGTGTTGGTACTATGACATACATGTTACATTTCAGTGTTTGTAGTATGCCATATATGTGACATTACAGTGTTTGTAGTATGACACATATGTCACATTTCAGTGTTTGTAGTATGCCATATGTCACATTTCAGTGTTTGTAGTATGATATATATGTCACATTTCAGTGTTTGTAGTATGCCATATATGTCACATTTCAGTGTTTGTAGTATGCCATATATGTCACATTTCAGTGTTTGTAGTATGCCATACATGTCACATTACTGTGTTTGTAGTATGCCATACATGTCACATTACTGTGTTTGTAGTATGCCATACATGTCACATTACTGTGTTTGTAGTATGCCATACATGTCACATTACTGTGTTTGTAGTATGACACATATGTCACATTTCAGTGTTTGTAGTATGCCATATATGTCACATTTCAGTGTTTGTAGTATCCCATACTTGTCACACATCAGTGTTTGTAGTATGCCATACGTGTCAAATTTCAGTGTACGCAGTATGACATACGTGTCACATTTCAGTGTTTGTTGTATAACATATAAGACACATTTCAGTGTTTGTTGTATAACATATATGACACATTTCAGTGTTTGTAGTATGACATACATGTCACATTACAGTGTTTGTAGTATGCCATACATGTCACATTACAGTGTTTGTAGCATGACTTACATGTCACATTACAGTCTTCATAATGTGACATATATATCACATTACAGTGATTGTAGTAAGACATATACGTCACATTTCAGTGTTTGTAGTATGACCTGTCACATTTATGTGTTTGTAGCATGACTTGTCATATTTCAGTGTTTGTAGTTTGCCATATATGTCACATTAAAGTGTTTGTAGTAAGACATACTTGTCACATTACAGTGTTTGTAGTATGACATACCTGTCACATTACAGTGTTTGTAGTAAGACTTACTTGTCACATTACAGTGTTTGTAGTAAGACTTACTTGTCATATTACAGTGTTTGTAGTATGACATACTTGTCACATTACAGTGTTTGTAGTAAGACATACTTGTCACATTACAGTGTTTGTAGTATGACATACTTGTCACATTACAGTTTTTGCAGTATGACATCTATGTCACATTAAAACACCATGCTTGCAGTCTCCCAGTCAAACCACCTGCACATTTTTCTTTACACACAAAAAAGTGACCACAAAAAAACAAACGAAGAGAATCAGCAGCACATGATTACACAGTCTTTTGGTTTTAAAACAGAAAACAGTTTTAAAAAAGACAGTCTAAACACAATTCAAATAAAGAATCTCAGATGTTGAAAGGAGTATTAATTCACAACAGTGCAGCAGGCATTTCTCCATGTACAAAAATGACAATTATACAATTTCTAAAAGCAAGGAAAAATGGCAAACTAGCGCAGCGAATTAACATAGACAAAATACAACAAACGCACATCGTATTTAAAAAACAAAAAATCAGTATGAACATATACATCAAAGCAACACTCAGTCTCTGTATAAAATGTCATACAAAACTGAGGCCACAACAAATAGTTGACGCAAACAAGAGAAGTGAACGAAGGTTTTGTGCTTGTCTGTTGCTGGATGGGGCTCCAATAATGCAAACCCTTTAGCTCCGAGAATCCCATATTTTGGCTTTGTTGTCCATTATAAATCTTGCCAGCCAATATTTAGGCTTTACCGCAGTCCCTGCTAGGCCTCTATATCGGCTCTGCTACTGTTTGTAACTTTTCAATAATCAGATGGGCCAGAAAGAATTAAATATCCAAAAACAATTGCACCTTTATTGAGGGAAAAAATGCCTTCCTTTAGTCATGATTTTATAATTCATCCTTTTGTGCCACAATGACGTATCAACAACAACAAAATGTGTAAACTAGGGAATGTATACAACTAAGTTACTGCTATATTTCTGCTTCAATGATCACTTCCATTCAGATATTTTATACCAGTTGAAAAAATGTCAAGTACAGTTCAAAGAATAATTGTTGTTTTTCAGGAATACCAAGTTATGGCATCGTTTGTTCATAGACTGAGTGAACAACTGACAAGAGAGAGGGACTGGCTAGAAGGATCTGAATCATCTCTAACTCTCTGTCAGACAGCTGTCCACAGAACACTAGCAAGTGTGAAAGACAGCAGAGACCAGACAGAGACACTAGCAAGTGTGAAAGACAGCAGAGACCAGACAGAGACACTAGCAAGTGTGAAAGACAGCAGAGACCAGACAGAGACACTAGCAAGTGTGAAAGACAGCAGAGACCAGACAGAGACACTAGCAAGTGTGAAAGACAGCAGAGACCAGACAGAGACACTAGCAAGTGTGAAAGACAGCAGAGACCAGACAGAGACACTAGCAAGTGTGAAAGACAGCAGAGACCAGACAGAGACACTAGCAAGTGTGAAAGACAGCAGAGACCAGACAGAGACACTAGGAAGTGTGAAAGACAGCAGAGACCAGACAGAGACACTAGTAAGTGTGAAAGACAGCAGAGACCAGACAGAGACACTAGGAAGTGTGAAAGATAGCAGAGACCAGACAGAGACACTAGCAAGTGTGAAAGACAGCAGAGACCAGACAGATACACTAGCAAGTGTGAAAGACAGCAGAGACCAGACAGAGACACTAGGAAGTGTGAAAGATAGCAGAGACCAGACAGAGACACTAGGAAGTGTGAAAGACAGCAGAGACCAGACAGAGACACTAGGAAGTGTGAAAGACAGCAGAGACCAGACAGAGACACTAGCAAGTGTGAAAGACAGCAGAGACCAGGCAGAGACACTAGGAAGTGTGAAAGACAGCAGAGACCAGACAGAGACACTAGGAAGTGTAGAAGATGAAAGCAAGTGGAAGATAGCAAAAGATGTGTGTACAGTCTTAACAGACAAGTGGTGTAGGAAATGAGGGAGACAGCAAAAGATGTGTGTACAGTCTTAACAGACAAGTGGTGTAGGAGATGAGGGGGACAGTAAAAGATGGGTGTACAGTCTTAACAGACAAGTGGTGTAAGAGATGAGGAGGATAGTAAAAGATGGGTGTACAGTCTAACAGACAAGTGGTGTAGGATATGAGGGAGACAGTAAAAGATGGGTGTACAGTCTAACACACAATTGGTGTAGGAGATGAGGGGGACAGTAAAAGATAGGTGTACAGTCTTAACAGACAAGTGGTGTAAGAGATGAGGGAGATAGTAAAAGATGAGTGTACAGTCTTAACACACAAGTGGTGTAGGAGATGAGGGAGACAATAAAAGATGTGTGTACAGTCTTAACAGACAAGTGGTGTAGGAAATGAGGGAGACAGTAAGAGATGAGTGCACAGTCCTCACAGACAAGTGGTATAAGAGATGAGGGAGATAAAAGAAGTGTGTACAGTCTTAACAGACGAGTGGTGTAGGAGATGAGGGAGATAGTAAGAGATAGGTGTACAGTCTAACAGACAAGTATCAACAGCAGCGCTTAGAACTTGGCTCCTGCTGGCTCACATTGACTCCCGTTGGCTCCGATATTCTGCTTGGTGTCTGCAATGATAAAAACAACAGGGTTTAAAGTTTTCACTTACACAGGCTAACGTCATGTGAAACATTTTCAACGCTCACTGAAACATATAACTGATCACTTTTACACACACACAATACAGGCACGTACTGTCTGCAGCAGAAGCTGTGGGGCTTCTTCTTACAGTTTATCTTGTAAAGACCTAGTTAGCATTTATGTCTACAGTTTATGTTGTAGAGACCTGGGTAGCATCTGTCTACAGTTTATCTTGTACAGACCTGGGTAGCATCTATGTCTACAGTTTATGTTGCACAGACCTGGGTAGCATCTGTCTACAGTTTATGTTGTAGAGACCTGGGTAGCATCTATGTCTACAGTTTATGTTGTACAGTCCTGGGTAGCATCTATGTCTACAGTTTATGTTGCACAGACCTGGGTAGCATCTGTCTACAGTTTATGTTGTAGAGACCTGGGTAGCATCTATGTCTACAGTTTATGTTGTACAGTCCTGGGTAGCATCTGTCTACAGTTTATGTTGTACAGTCCTGGGTAGCATCTGTCTACAGTTTATGTTGTAGAGACCTGGGTAGCATCTATGTCTACAGTTTATGTTGTACAGACCTGGGTAGCATCTGTCTACAGTTTATGTTGTAGAGACCTGGGTAGCATCTATGTCAACAGTTTATGTTGTACATACCTGGGTAGCATCTGTCTACAGTTTATGTTGTAGAGACCTGGGTAGCATCTATGTCTACAGTTTATGTTGTACAGTCCTGGGTAGCATGTATGTCTACAGTTTATGTTGTACAGTCCTGGGTAGCATTTATGTCTACAGTTTATGTTGTAC